ACATTGTGTTAGGTGTCTGACCCTGCTTTCCTGTGTGTCTGTCACAGTGCACACTATTACATAACGTTATATATATTGTGTAACTATTACGAGAGCCCTAAGGGTTAGACACTCTTTGGGCAAGCTTTTACTGTCTTCCCAGACACCATGCTAAGGGCTGGTATTATTAATCCCCCCTTTTCTTCTGGAGAGTATGTAGCTTGCCAAAAACCGGTCCAAATAACAAGTGAGTTCCAAACTTTTTTTTCCTTTTGTTTTTGTCTTTTTCAGGTAGGGTCTCGCTATGCAGTTCAGGCTGGCCTTAAACTCACTTTGTAGCCCAGGCTGGCTTCAAACTTGCGGCAGTCCTCCTGCCTTTGCCTCCGGAGTGCTGGAATTACAGGCATGCGCCACCACGCCTGGCTAGTTTCTGGCTTATAGTTTTAATACCCTATTAAAGAGAGTGGTTCTATAGTTCTTTGCTATTAGTATTAAAAGCATTTATCTTTGTTTGGTTATTTCATGTACATGTGTTCTAATAAACTTGGAATAATTTTAGATTTATAAAAACAGCACAGAAAATGTACAGAGCTCCTATATGCCTGAAGCCTGCTGTTGCTCATTTTATATTAGCATGGTACATTTATCAGCACAAAGACACTGATTATCTGGGCATGGTGGCCACACCTGTAATCCCAGCACTTGGAAGGCTGAGGCATGAGGATTACCAGGAATTTGAGGCCAGCCTGAGCCACATAGTGAGTTCCAGGTCAGCCTGCACTACAAAGCAAGACCTCTCAAAAAACAAAACAAAGCAAAATTAGAAATTGGCATTATATGGCTCTATTTAAGTAAAAATTCCATGTTTTATTTAGACTTTACCGGTTTATCCATTGATACCCTTTCTGTTCCAGGATCTAATCCAAAGTACCCACTGTATTTGGGCGTCATATCCCCCAGTACCCTCTGCTCTGTTGCAGTTTCTCAAGTCTTCTTACCCATGGCCTTTCCATTCTGAAGCAGTACTGATCACCTGTAAATGTCCCCTGTCTTCGTTTGCCTAAATTCTTTCTCAGATTCTTAGCTTAGGGCTATAGATTGTTGAAGAAAACGGAAGAGGGAAAGTACCATCTCATGACAGCATCCCAGGGGTACTCACATAACAAAACTGGAGATGTTTCTGTAGCCAACTGCTCTGAGAGACCTGTCCCAAAGCTCCCAGCAGCCTCTCAGCCCAGGCTCCTGATGTTTGGACTCTGACCCTTTTGATGTATGTTTGAATCTTTTGAAGACTGTGGAACCTCAGTCAGTTTATGGGCAGGAACCCTGGACGTAACCAAACCCAGTTGGAGGATGTGGGTGCCTTAAGCCCCGCACCCGCAGGGAGATCCAACTCCCTCAGACCTGGGGCTGAGCCTGGGGCTGAGCCTGAGCCACTCATCTCAGTGACTTCTCCCTGAGGAGCGAGCCCTGCCCCTGCTGCACCCTCAAATCCCTACTCCCCAACAGTCTGCAAGAGTTCTCCAAGGAGACGCTGAGGGGCCTGCTCAGGTCTCTGCGGACAGGAGCCCCCACAACAGGTACCAAGCTGGCTTTCTCTTCCTCTGTGCTGGTGGAGGAAGCCACAGGATGGGAAGTCTCTGGCCCAGGCACCAGAACTGCCCAAGGGCAGCAGGCGTGTCCTTGCCAGCTGGTCCCCTCCACCTCAGTACTGTGTGCTCGCTGCTGCAACCCTGTGTTGAGTTTCTGCACAGATACGGATCTTTGTGCCCAGAGTGGGACTGGGCCCTTACAGTATCTTACTCTCCTAGGAGGAGGTAATCCACAAATCCAGTCTCTGAGAATCTCCAAAGCTCTCTGGAAAGAGAACTGTCCACATCACTAAAGAATTAAGATTCCCTCACTTTTTTGAGGGCTGTGTGGTGTGTGTGTGTGTGTGTGTGTGAGAGAGAGAGAGTGTGTGTGTGAGTGTGAGAGTGCTGGTAATTTCCCACTTGAACTAAATGGGGTTACAGAAAAGAATACTGGGCAAGCTATCTCCACTGAACAAGTCCTTGGCATTGGGCAGGTCCCAAGGGACTCGCAGCTTCTGGCAGCAAGTGTGTGTGTGTCATCCATACACACAGTTCTGTCTGGAGAGTGCAATGTGTCTTTTTATTATTATTATTAATTATTTTATTATTTAGTTGGAAACTTCACACTGGCATTAACAGATCTAGCAGAAGCAGCCTCAGCCATCGTCCTGGGCTCCAAGTAAAGATGTGAAAGAGATGCTGGACGTGGAAGTGCTGAGGGATTGAATTAGGTCACCCGCGTATGCATCACCGTGCAGCCTGGCTCCCGCCCCTCATCCTGCGTGTGGTCGGTATGCGAGGCCCCCGAAGATACAAGAGCAGCTGGGCCCAGGGTTCCTGTTTCTGAGAAGGGTCAGGCTGGGCGGGTGAGAGCCAGCCCGTGCGGCGTTCAGCAAGACCCGCATGCGCACAGCACCTCCAGAGCCTGCTGGATGCTTTATGAAGCGTGTGGAGGGGCGCCCTGGGTCTTACTGAGGCGGTCTCATCCTCTCGGGGACACTCTCGTGTGTGGTTCCCAAGCGCTTTGATCAGAGGCAGGGTCGGTGACCTGACAGCCTCAGACACACAGCCCCACCGATGTTAACTTTCCTCCCGCACTGTCCTACGCACACACAGGTGCCCAGGCCTTGGTCCCAGCCTGCCTGGAAGGCCGGACCCACATGTGCTCCCCCTTCCCCTGTGCTGTCTCTCTCGATCCGTTTGCACTTGACCTTGACAGTCGGCATCCTCGCCCATCCTAGTCCTAGAACTTAGTGGCTTACAGAGTGGGATCCCAGTGCTGACGGTCCCTACCTTGCGCCCAGTTCCATCCTGGCCAGTGGCCTGGACCTCAGGACCTAATGTTTTAGAGCAAGGCTGGGTTGAGCACGTTGGAGACAAGTGAGAGGTATGTTGGCAAGATGGAGGGTGTGCATGTCTGGGCTGGCCGGGGCTTACGTCCCTGCACTGGGGAGGAGGCTTCCGGAAGAGGTGTCTTCTAGGGGAAAAGGTGTGGGAAGGTAGGAAGAGAGTTTGGAGGTTTGTTTTGTCTTTATTGATTGGAAAGAAGAAAGAAGTTGATGCTGAGTGTTTCAGAGAGAACAGGTAGGCAGGGAATTTCATGATTCGACATCCAAGGGTCCAGCCAAAGCTGAAGTTTGGAAAATCCTCCAAACTTGGCTACAGAAGCCAGCCAGAGAACACTGCTACTGACTGGCCGCAAGCTGATTATGTGGGAGTGGGCATTGATGTACTTAGCGGAGAAGGAGTGTTGTAGGCAACACACAAGTCTTTGAGTTCAGAGGCCCTGTTTCCAGTAGACTCACTTCCACCTTCCAGGTTCCCAACTGATTTTGCCCACTGCCCTTATCCAGTCCAGAGCTGGCCTTCCGGGTGAGTGAATCAGTTAGGAATGAGTGACTGTGACGGGCCAGGCGTAGGGACCCACCGTCCCCCAGCCGAAGCGTGGGGTCTGTCGGGTCCATCTGAGAGGAGCACAGCCTCGCTCACCTTCTACTGATGGCCAGGTATTCCTGAGGCTCTTTATACGCGCAGTGGCTCTGCCCGCCGAGCTGTGAACTGGACAGGAGAAAGGCGTGCCCGTCAATCTGCTCTGCATGTTTTTCTGGCTTCTAACCAAAGCACACTGCTCTTAAAGAGTTAAAGAAGGGCAAATGGCCACCGTTCTCGAATTTTTAACTTGTTCTGTGCAACAGGCTCCCTTTGAATCCAGGGCACAGCCTGGGGGTGGGCGTCCCTGCTGGTTACTGAGGTCTGCAGAAGGTGACTGGTGAGCAGGACAGATGTGCGTGCCCGTCACCGCTGGCTGCGTGGTTGGGCGTGAACTGGTGGGTGTTGCCGAGGCTCCAGAACTGCAGGAGATTCCACGTGGCATCCACACAGCCCTGCCCAGCGTCTAGTGGGCTCCATGGGGTCCAGGTTTTTCCCTCTCCCCCTCAGCAGAGAAACTGGAGAGATGGACATTACGTGCAGTGCAGTCAGTGTGAGTGCTAGAATATTCCCAGGTTCAATGGTGGTGCTAAACTATCTCGTTTCTGATATTTTCAATGGTGGGCTTTTTAAATCTCCTCACAAACACGTAGTGTCGTGGGGAAGAGACCCAGCCCCTTGGCCCACCGTTTTCCAGGTGTCCTTTATCACTTTGACGGGACTCTTTGGTCTGCAGAAGTGCTCTGTCTTGGCATGCTTCTAGACTGTAAGATTTGGGTTGTTCTGTTTTGTATTTGGTTTATGTTTACATGCATCTTGTATTTCCCTGAAAACTAAATAAAGTTTTTGGCCTTTTTAACTGAAAACAAAAACACACCACTGATGATGTTAACCTTTATCACTTAGTCAAGGACTTAAATACTAATTTATCAGGTTTCTTTACTGTAAAATCACTGTTTTTCCCTTTTGCTACTCTAAATATAGGCCATCTTTAGTGAGAGTGGGAATTAAACTCCACCTCCAGTGGGAGGGAGTGTCTACACATATTACTTAAAATTGTCATGTAAGAAAGATTAGTCTCTTTTCCTTATTTATTTAATAGTTTATTTATGTCAGTATGGACTTACTGTATGTCAAACCTTGATCTAAAACCTGTGTTTCTGCTACACCAGCTAAGAAATGACAAGACAATAGTTTTGTAGAAGCTTATTAATTTCAGAGGTTGGGGGGAGGTAGATTTGATAAAGCTTGGTGAGCTTGCATGTGAGTGAGTGGGTGGTGGAGAGGGAGTATTTGAAAATAATACTCAGTGATTTGAATGACAGGAGTTAAAAGTTTGGTTTGAAACTGTGGTAACAAGTATGAAGATTGGTTCTGGGCTTTGGTGAGCCTCGGCTTCTTTAGAGACCAGCTGGCCTGCGTATGACCCAGCTGTACCCAGAAGCCCTAACCCTTGTTTTTATTGGGTTATCCTCTTCTTCCATCTGGTACTACATTAATGTTAATTCTTTGTTTCAGAGCCATCATCAACCACTTTAATCCCAAAATTGAATCCTACGCTGCTGTGAATCACATATCCCAGCTGTCAGAGGAGCAGGTAAGCCACTGCCCTCCCCACGGTGACCTGGTTGATGGCTGGGATCGGTTGCCTTCTCTCGAGTGGCAGAGAGTCTGTTCCTGAGCTTGTGGAGCGGGTGGCAAGCGTCAGGCTGCTCGGAGGCTGTGGGACAGCGTTGCTTGGTAGCACTTTAAACAGAGTTGCACCTTCTCATTTGTGCCCTCGAAGAGGTGTGTTTAGTTACGCAGAAGAACGTAGGTGAAAACATGGTAAATGTGGTTCCCGTGGGTGACAAGGCATTACTCTACAATTTTACTCAGAGAGTCATTTTGATGTTTGAAAGTAAGAAATGAGGATTTAGAAATAGAAGAAAATGCCAATTACAAGCCCTAAGTTCAGCTTAATTTGAAACTGTTTGGCTCATTAAAACAAGCCCTCACTGGGACAGAGTTTCCTTAGTAATTGAGTTCCCTTTGCCTTGAGCCGTTGTTTCTGTGGAGGTCTTTCTCTGGTATGGCCTAACTTGGGGATGCAGATAGGCTTGTGTGTTTGTTTTTCTTGGGTCTGGCCTGATTTCTCTTTTCCCAAAGCGGCTGCATTCAGCTCTGCATTATATAAAGTACAGATGGGGCTTAGCATGGCATGGGGTTGAATCTGATGTTTCATTCTGAGACACTTGAGTCCTGTTTTAAAAAACATAAAACAAAACATCTTTTCCATATGCTTGCCTTCCTTCCCACCCTGCTGCCCAGTAAGAAAACCACAATGCTCAGCGCCCCCACGCCACCCCCACTCGCACCCCCAGCCGGTCGTGGTAACCCCTTTGGGAGCCTTTTATTGGAGGGGCGGCCAGCAGCTGTGGTGTGACCATGAGTTCTGGCGTTGTGAAAAGCTGCTCTGTTCACCCAGGCTTCTCAGCGTCCCCCAGCCCCAGCGGCTCTTTGCTCGGCCCGATGGACAGCACTCTATTAGTCTGACATGTTTGTTCTCTTCTGTGAGGCCGGCTGTGTGAACCCACCCTTACGTGTAAAACTGCTTTTGTAAATGGCTTTCATCTCTCCTTTCCTCTCTGCTATAGTCTTGTTCTCTGATGCTGGTCCTCTCCGCAAGATGCTTCTTGGTGCTGCTGCCTCTTCTGTTGGATCAGTTCATGTTAGTTTTACTGTGTCATTTTTCTGCAGAGTAATTCAGGAACTTCAGTTCTATACAGCTAGAGAAGGAGTGACTTTCTATGCACAGTGAGAGCTGGTTAGTCTCTTTTTTTTTTTTTAAAGGAGCAGACATTTTTACTCTTAGCCTCAGGGACTTGGGGAGGTTAGGCTACTTTCTCCAGCAGTATCAGCCACAGAGCAACAATAAAAACCCATTCTGGTGCAAGAGGCAATGTGGAAAAGGAGATCAGCAAGTACCTGTCCTCACCTGCCTCCAGTTCTTTGCAGGTTAAATGAAGTGGGCCAGTGTGTTCTCTTTTTTTTTTTTTTTTGGTACCGGGAATCGAACTCATGACCTTGTGCTTGCCAGGCAGGTGCTGTGCCGCTGAGCTGTATCTCCAGCCCAGTGTGTTTTCTTACAGTAACCTGTTCTTGTCCTGGAGAGTGTACTTATTTTCCTGATTTTACTGTTCACACTCTTTCTGCAGAGCCTGTTTCTTTTCTTACCTTTAATAAATGTAAAATCTTGCTACTGTTAAAAAAAAAAAAGTTGAATGCAATGATAAAAATACCTCTGGAAAAGAGCCCACAAGCCGGGCTGAGGTGATTCCTGTGGAGAGGCAGAGTACCAGTCAGGAGAGGGAAGAGCAGCGCTGGAAAACTCACTTACTCAGGCAATAAATAATTGGTGCCTGCTGTAGTAGAGGGTGTGGTGCTGTCAGAGGGTAGTGGGGTCAGTGGTGAATAGTCCAAAGTGTAGTCCTTGCCTTACTGTCATGGGGCCCTCTCCCACTTCAGGACTAGGCATCAAGCTCGGGACTCCACCTGCTAGGCAGACACTGCCGCTGAGCTAACCCCAGCCCTGTCAGGGAGTTCTGCGTACTCATTCCCTCTCTTCTTAAAAATGTTCTGTTCTTACATTGAATATTTATTGAATAATTGCTCCTGGCTGTCTGTGTCTGTCTACCTACCTGTCTCGTCAGCGCACGTGTGTTGTGCGTAACGTTTACATTCCATGTGCAGAGTCGGCATGTGTACGTAACACATCTTCATTCTCCATCACCCTGTTCCCTCGCAGCCCGACCCTTCCGCCAGCCCACTTGAGGAACCATTTCCTATTTTCTGTCTTTTATTTGGGCCTTATTTATAATTTGGGTTTCTCATATAATAGAAACCATGCAGTATATTTAAGCTTGTGTATCCGATTTGTTTCACTTAATGTTACGGTCTCTGTGTGCCTCCATTTTCCTACAGATGACTCAAGTTTATCTGTTTATGGCAGAGTAGTACTCCTCTATATGTAAATACCACATTTTCTTTATCTGTTTATCTGCTGATGGACATGTAGGCTGCTTCCAAGATTTAGCTGTTATGAATTGTTCTGCTGTAAACATGGGTATGCGTGTGTCACTACAATATGAGATTTTTTAATTCTTTTGGAAAGGTACCTAGAAGGGGAATAGCTGGGTCAAATGGAGTTTTAATTTCAATTTTTTTGTTCTTGTTGTTGTTGTTTTTTGTGGTTTTATTTTTTGTCTTTTTGAGACAGGGTCTCGCTGTGTAGCCCAGGCTGGTCTTGCACTCGCAATGATCCTCCTGCCTCAGCCTCCTGAGTGCTGGGATTACAGGTGTGCGCCACCATGCCCTGCTTAATTTTAGTTTTTTGAATGTGTTAGTTTTAGTTTTGAAATCTCCATATCGATTTTCATAGTGGTTACAGTAGTTTAAATTCCCATTAACAATGAATAGGGGTTCTTTTTCTCCCCACAGCCTCACCACCATTTGTTACTATTTGGTTTTGTTTTGTTTTGTTTTTTTGATCCGGTACCGGGAATCAAACTCACGACCTTGTGCTTGCCAGGCAGGCGCTGTGCCGCTGAGCTAAATGCCCAGCCCCAATTTGTTACTGTTTGATTTCTTGATGATGGCCATTCTTTCTGGACTGAGCTGGAAGATGAATGTTGTTTTAATTTGCATTTCTTTAATGGTCAGTGATGTTGAGCATTTCTTTGTGTATTTATTGGCCATTTGTACTTCTTCTATCCAGCAGTTACTAATTTTATTTGCCTATTTTTTGATAGGGTCTTACTGGTGGGGGTCTAATGCTTTTGAGTTCTTTACACAGTCTAGATACTAATCCTCCCTTTGGTAAGCCGCCATTCCTACCTAGTAAATCATCTGGTGTGCAAGGCAGACTCCATGATCGAGGAGTAAGGGCTCCCGCAGCAGTGCGGCCGAGAAGTCAGACTGAAGGGCTCAGAGTGCACGGCGACCTACGTGTCTCTGCCTGGGAACTTGGAGTCTGCTTCTGCTTCTTCCAGGCGAGGGCTGCTTTCTCTCTGGTTCTCTCCCCAGAAATACAACAGCCTTAGCTCATCACTGTTGTAAAGCTTCCTAAATTCTGGCCTCCAGCCCCTCCTTCATCAGTGACCCAAACTCTTTTCATTTCCAGAAGGGGATAGTGGAGTGACACAACCTGCGCTGCATAGAGAAATCCTAATGACCTTTTTGTCCATCCTAAGTACACGTGAATGGAAGGTGTTACAGGAGAAGCTCTTGACTCCAGGCTAAATCTTGGGGATTCAGATGGTTTCAGGACAGCTGTCTGGCTGAGGCAGTGCCCCCTTCACAACAGTACGCTGAAGTAGGGGAAAAGGAAGGAGGAAAGGAAAAGAAAATGGAAGGGGGAAAAGTGGAAACAAAGCTTTTGTAAATAAGGAGGGGAAGAAGGGCTGAAGGGAGGGGAGGGGAATGAGGAAAAAGAATCAAGATATATCATGTACAGGTACAAATTCCCTATGAGGAATGTGATCATGATCTGTGTCTAAAGTGCACCAATTAACTTAATTATTAAACAGTTAGCCTTTCAAAACTATGGTGGAGTAGAAGAGCCCATGTGGAGGCTCCCCTCGCTGTCTTGTCCTACCTGAACTCTTAGGTACACCTTTTCCTCTGTTTCTTTTTCTTTCTCTTCCTTCCTTCCTTCTTTCCTTCCTTCCTTTCTCCCTAAAATTATTTACTTTCATTTTTCTTGTTCCTAGTAGTTCCTTTATTCTGTTTTTCAAAGTTGAAAAAAGACTTTCTACTATTATTTGCTACATTATATTAGAGACGAGTCCACACTCAAGAAATCAGCCATGAAATTTCTTGGGATAATACTTACTTACAGATGGTTCTTAACTTAAGATTCAACAATGAACAGGCTTTAGAAGTTTAGTATATATTCTTGCCAGGTATGGTGGCACACAGCTGTAATCTCAGTACTCGGGAGGCTGAGGCAGGAGGATCACCTTGAGGACAGCCTCAACTACACAGCAAGACTCAGTCACAAAAAAAAGAAAAAGAAGAAAGTATATATTCTGAAATTGTGCCCAAAATTATGCATTTGTCCTTTTTTTCCTTGAAGAGGGCCCATTTTTCCGGATTCTCAGCCACTCTGACTCCCTCTTCAACATTTTCAGGTTCATTAGCTCAGCTGCTTTGAACGGCCCCGTAACTTGCCTTGCTCCAAAGCCGCCAGACCTGTGAAACTGTGCTTTGCGGGTCTGGGCTCCCGTGGGTTTCACTGCTGGTTATCGTTTACAGCTGTCACGATACATGGGATCGTATCAGCTCTTCTCTCCTTATACGCAGGGAAGGGCTCCTAGCAGACCTTTCCCAAAGATTCTCAGAAGCCCTGAGTATCTGGAAGATGTCGTGGCCGTTTAGGACTCAAAGCAGAGCCCTCCTTGGCACTCACTCCTTTCCTCCTTCTCATGACCAGCTGCCTGCCTTTGAGATGTCCCACCGAGAAGCAAGTGAATTATTGCCCCTCTCCTGCTTTAGCCGCTTTATTCAGCTGTCAGTATTTCAGCAGTTTAGCCTGCTCTGGGTCTCTGATTGTGCTCG